AGCCTTTCTTATGGTCCAACTTTCACAGCCATACATTGCAACTGGGAAAACCATGGCCTTGACTATACGCACTTTTGTTGGCAGGGTGATGTCTCTGCTTTTTAGTATGCTGTCTAAATTTGCCATAGCTTTCCTCCCCAGGAGCAAGTGTCTTTTAATTTCTTGGCTGCAGTCCCCATCTGAGGTGATCTTGGAACCCAGAAAAATAAAATCTGTCACTACCTCCATTTCTTCCCCATCTATTTGCCAGGAATTAAGAGGGCCGGATGCCATGATTTTGGTTTTCTTAATGTTGAGTTTCAAGCCAACTTTTGCACTCTCCTTCTTCACCCGCATCAAGAGGCTCTTTAGTTCCTCTTCACTTTCTGCCATTAGCGTGGTATCATCTGCATATCTTAGGTTGTTGATATTTCTCCCGGCAATCTTAATTCCAACTTTTGATTCATCTAGCCCTGCCTTTCTCATGATGTGCTCTGCATATAAGTTAAATAGGCAGGGCGACAGTATACAGCCTTGCCGGACTCCTTTTCCAATTTTGAACCAATCAGTGGTTCTGTGTCCAGTTCTCACTGTTGCTTCTTGACCCAGCATATAGGTTTCTCAAGAGACAAATAAGATGGTCTGGTATTCCTATCTCTTTAAGAACTTGCCACAATTTGTTGTGATCCACACAATCAAAGGCTTTAGCATAGTCAATGAAGCAGAAGTAGATGTTTTTGTGGAACTCCCTAGCTTTCTCCATGATCCAGCGTATGTTGGCAATTTGATTTCTAGTTCCTCTGCCTCTTCGAAATCCTGCCTGTACTTCTGGTAGTTCTCGATCCACATACTGCTGGAGTCTAGCTTGTAGGATTTTAAGCATAACTTTACTAGCATGTGAAATGAGTGCAATGGTGCGATAGTTTGAACATTCTTTGACATTGCCTTTCTTTGGAATTGGAATGTAAACTGACCTTTTCCAATCCTGTGGCCACTGTTGAGTTTTCCAAATTTGCTGGCAAATTGAGTGTAGCACTTTTACTGCATCGTCTTTTAAGATTTTGAATAGCTCAGCTGGAATACTGTCACCTCCACTAGCTTTGTTGTTGCTCAGATTTTCTAAGGCCCATTTCACTTCACATTCTAGGATGTCTGGTTCGAGGTCAGTGACCATCTCATTGTGGTTATCTGGGATGTTAAGCTCATTCTTGTATAGTTCTTCTGTGTAGTTTTGCCATCTCTTCTTAATCTCTTCTGCCTCTGTTAGGTCCTGCCATTTTGGTCCTTTATCATGCCCATCTTTGCATGAAACGTTCCCTTCATATCTCCAATTTTCTTGAAGAGATCTCTGGTCCTCCCTATTCTGTTGTTTTCTTCTATTTCTTTGCACTGTTCATTTAAGAAGGCATTCTTATCTCTTCTAGCTACTCTCTGGAATTCTGCATTCAATTGGGTGTATCTTTCTCTTTCTCCTTTGCCTTTCGCTTCCCTTCTTTCCTCAGCTATTTGCAAAGCTTCCTCAGACAGCCATTTTGCTTTCTTGCATTTCTTTTTCTTTGGGATGGTTTTAGTTGCTACCTCTTGTACAATGTTGCGAACTTCCATCCATAGTTCTTCAGGCACTCTGTCTATCAGATCTAATTCCTTAAATCTATTTGTCACCTCTACTGTATATTCATTAGGAATATGATTTAGTTCATACCTGAGTGGCCTAGTGCTTTTCCCTACTTTTTTAAATTTAAGCCTAAATTTTGCAACGAGAAGCTCATGATCTGAGCCACAGTCAGCTCCTGGTCTTGTTTTTACTGACTGTATAGAGCTTCTCCATCTTTGGCTGCAGAGCACATAGTCAATCTGATTTCTATGTTGACTGTCTGGTGATGTCCATGTGTAGAGCCGTCTCTTGGGTTGTTGGAAAAGAGTGTTTGTTATGACCATCGTATTCTCTTGACAAAATTCTATTAGCCTGTGCCCTGCTTCATTTTGTACTCCAAGGCCAAACTTGCCTGTTATTCCGGTTATCTTTTGGCTTCCTACCTTAGCATTCCAATCCCCCATGATGATAAGGACATCATTTTTTGGTGTTAATTCTATAAGGTGCTGTAGGGCTTCATAGAACCGGTCAATTTCATCTTCTTCAGCACCAGTGGTTGGGGCATAGATATGGATTATTGTGATATTGAATGGTTTGCCTTGGATTCGAATTGAGATCATTCTGTCATTTTGGGGATTGTATTCCAGTATTGCTTTTCCTATTCTTTTATTGACTATGAAGGCTACTCCATTTCTTCTGAGGGATTCTTGCCCATAGTAGTATATCTGATGGTCATCTGAGTTAAATTCACCCATTCCTGTCTATTTTAGTTCGCTGATTCCTAATATGTCGATGTTCAGTCTTGTCATCTCTTTTTTGACTACGTCTAGCTTGCCTTGATTCATGGATCTTACATTCCAGGTTCCTATGGAGAAAAAATCTTTATTATAAAACACAAAATGTGGATCACATTTTGTCAGCTGATAATAAGTGCCTGGATTTGTCTTCTCTTTCCCTTGTTAGTGGTTGCTAGATATCACAAAATATTCTTACATGGGAATAACCAATATCCCCAAATATGGGATCATAACAATACAAGGCATAGGAGACAGAAAGATGAATTTCTATCTGATGAAAGATAATGTGTAGTTTTCACTCACAAGAGTACCATAGTCCGGTTGCCATTCATTTTTTACCTTAGAATTTGATATTAAAACAACATAAGAAATCCTACTTTTCCCCCAGAGGCTGCCTTTTCTGCTGTTCATGGAGTTCCTGGAAAACTATGAAAGGAATTTGTATTCTGTCATATCATTAAGCATAGCCCTTTTGAGCCCTTTCTCAGAAATTGGCAGATGATATATGCAGGATCTTTTCTACCAGCCAGGCACATCCGTTGCTTAAATTTCAGGTTGCATTCAGTTTGTTTTCATGAAAAGGCTCCATAGCCAAATATTCGCTACCATTTCTCATCCAAGCGTTGCCGAGTTATGCTGTAGATAGACTTCCAAGAACTGCGGACATTCCACATTTCAAAGCAAATTGTTATACTCATGTGTTTCTTTTCTATGAGATCCTAAGCCTTCCATTTTCATCACCGTTTAAAACATCAATATGCTTATTTTTATTTAAAACAGCTATTTGTGCTCTTTGCCATTTTTAAATGTTTAAGAGCACGTTTGCTGTCATATAAACTTTTCATCATCAAGGCAATTATTAAAATTGGCCAAAGTTAAATTATCTTTTAATATTTAAACATGAATAAATAGTTATTACTGCTTATGGCACTAAGACTACAGACTGGGACCTCTCATAATGCCAGTTCTGTAAAGCTTAGCTTCTATTGCCTCTCTCTCAACAAAGAATATAAACATGCATATTACAACCTAATTAAACAGATAATCCATCCAACAGCATAAAAATCATGTCTATTAAGGGGGCCAAATCCACCCTACCCCCAAATTCTGGGAATATATCTAGGTTTTGGGGGCTTGTGGGGTGCCCTGGGGATGGGGGCCACAAGAATTTCTGCAAGGACAGAGAAGGAAGGTTTCCTAGGTTCTGTTAGATGGCATTGTTTCATCGGGGGGGGGGAGGGTCCAGAGCATATCAACTTGGCCAGTTCTTCCCAAGCAAGTTATAGTGAATATTTCACTATTTGACTCTTGCTATCAAAACTATGTAGTAGATTAGAAACAGGCTTATGTATTCCTAAAATTCAAAATGAATTTATATTTAATAATCAATATATATTATCAAGACATATTTGAGATCTATAGCACATCAGATATGAACATTTGACGATAATTGTATACAGGGCTATCTTCTATCAAATAAGAAGTTAATAATCAATTAAAACTGTAATGCATTCAGTTCGGTGAAAGAAAAATAAAGCAAGTATTGGAAAAGTGTCAGGAGAAACAGGAGAAATTTCAAATGGTGATTCCCTTACACAGTTGTTCGGCTATAGTAGTGGTGGTGAACCTCTGGCACTGGTGCCAGAGGCGGCACTCGGAGCCCTCTTTGCCATTGCCCCAGCCTTGCATCCCCCCATGACCCCTTCATCAGCAGCCCCCCCGGAGGAGAGCCGCCCCCAAGCGTGGCCCACACAGAGCAGCGCAGCCAAGGACATGGTAGCCTGGCAGCATAGACAAGACTCTGCCCTCACACCCCATCGTGCACAGTTGATGCTGCAGGGCACGGGGAGAGGGCGTGGCCACCATGGCGCTGCTGGGATGCCTTGGTGATTTGCGGTGGGCCCTGGAGGAGGTGAGTGGCCCTGCGGGCAGGCAGGGTGGGGGCAGGGGTAGAGGGTGGAGCAGGGGCATGGCCAGTTTTGGGGCACTCGATCTCTAAAAGGTTCACTATCACTGGGCTATAGTCTCACCGGCTCAAGGTTGACTCATCCTTCCATCCTTCTGAGGTTGGTAAAATGAGGACCCAGATTGTTGGGGGCAATAGGCTGGTTCTGTAAACCGTTTAGAGAGGGCTGTAAAACACTGTGAAGCGGTATATAAGGTTAAGTGCTACTTCTGTAGGAGAACGCAGAAAAGCAAAATAAGACTTTTGCTGTCAGAAAGAAAGCTACAATATTGTAAGCTTCCTGTCAAAGAGGAAAAAACCCCATGTAGAGCGCTCGCTCTCTCTCTCTCTCTCTCTCTCTCTCTCTCTCTCTCTCTCTCTCTCTCCCTCTCTCCTTCTCCCTCTCTCTCTCTCACACACACACAATGGTTGATTTGGATTAATGACTATTCAACCTAATCTAAACACAATTTTCAGAACTAGCAGCATTTAAATACAATTCACAAACCCAGTGTACTTTGTGGATTAAAGTTTTTCACCTGAAAATTATTTTTGGAATGTTTTAACTCTCTGCCCCCACCCTTGTAATATTTAATCTGGCAACAACAAATAGATTTCAGTTAATCCAGCATTAAAATTGTATGGGCTTTTATTTTAAGCTGTCTTTTAATTTTTATCTTTTTAGAACCGGGTTTTATCCCCAAGTGGAATTCGTCGGTTACATGCAGTAATGGCAGCTGTATCCACCACATTCTTGATTTTTTCCAATCTCATTTTTCTTGGTGGAAATGATGTTGGCAGAATTTATTGGAACAAGATCTTCAAAGAAGGCAAGTTAAGTGAATTTGAATTTTTCTTTAAAAATTATTAAAAATTCCTGCATGGATATACATTGTTGGTATATATTAATCTTGATACTACAACAACAACAATTTGGCTTGTTGGCTTTCAAACTGATCATTGTTTTTATTTTGTTTTATTTGAGATGCATTTTCTACCAAAACTATATTTAGATCCTGATGGTAAGAATAATAATAAACATTGCTTTGTGTAATTTTAATCTAATTTAGTGAATTTATCAAACTGCAAATTATTTGTCAGTATTAGCATGGAGTGAGGTAAAATTTACGTTTTTCATCAGTAAAGGATATATTAAGATAAGAGTTATGTTTTATATAATTAAACTGAAGATTGTAAGAGAGTTTTTATAGTCTTTTGAAATTATAACACTGAATAGTCAGAAAGCCATGCAGAGTAGGCTGTACTGCAATTAGGAGCATATGAGAACACAACAGCAACACTTATGCAGCCGTGTTAGTAGGCACATCTTTTCTTAGGATTTCTTAGTTGCCCCCTTGCAAACAGATGCAGAGTTTGTGTTTCCACGTGCACCACCACACTTTGTTTTTGAAATAAAGCATTGCCCAGCCAAATATACAATATTCAGATTGTTTACATTCCTGTATATCATAATTCCTTATTTTATTTACAATATTTTACTCTTTTGTAATTTCAGTATATAATGAATTTTATTACCAGTTTTAAAAAGTTGTGGAGTTGTTTAGAATTTTTATTCCAATGAATAACAATTGTTGATGCTGAATAAAACCTTAAGTGGGTTTATATGTGATATGTGCTTGGCATATGCAGTTGATACCCATTTAACTGATAGAAAATGTACACTCACTTTCTTCGGTTCAAGGCTTCGAGATAACAGGGCTACAATTCCCACTGTGTTCAGCCGTCATGACAGCTCCATATATTCCTGTTGAAGCTACACTGAAAACTATTAGATTAATTTAGTGCATTTATGGAGATGTCTCTGTATCTGTTATTCCAAGAAACTAAATCTGTCCCCTTGTTGTCCTTCAGGAAGACCCTAAATATTTCCAGTCCAATATATCTTTGTGGTACTTACATTTTTCTGAAAAATGTTTGAATCTCAGCACAATTATGACTTTTCATTTGAGCACTTTTATTTCCTTCGGGCAATTCATTTTAACATTCAACAATAGATATGTGTTTTCCATGTAATTAGGCACATAATTTTGAATGACAATCTGTGTGAACCCAAGAATGGCCTGTATGGTGGCGGTCCCCAACCCCCAGTCCATGGCATGCCAGCAATCGGTCTGCACAAACAAGCAAAGCCCTATTCACGGGATGCAAGCACCATACAAAACCACGCACCTCTCTCCATGGAACCAGTCCCTGGCGCCCAAAAGGTTGGGGATCTCTGCTATATGGAATCAAATATACAGTTTTTCCTGACATGAAGAGGGTCTACCTCTGTTGGAAGTCAAGTAGGATAGTTTTATCTCTTTCAGTCCCAAATTAGGCTTGAACTTCTGAGAAATTTCATCAGGCCTATCAAGCCTGGCTTTGCTTTTACAAAATTTATCTGTTAATTTTGACTTTAAGCCTATTTTGAGTATAGGTAGAATAGATGCAGTTAGTGAATTGGTTGAGAGCAATTATTATTCCTTGCAAGAACTTGAAAATAAAGTTAATTGCATGATCCAACAATTCCCGTTATTTACTTTCTGCTATGAATGCTTACCTTTCTATATATGTGTGAAACCAGTACTGGATGAATATACTGTTCTAGTTATGTATTGCTTGATTCTCCTATATGGCATTTGAGAAGTTTTAATGCAAACTAATCTGCTGCTTGGTTCTCATTAAGATTAAGATTTTTAAATTTTATTTCTTAGTTTTACAAATAACTCAAAGTGACAAACATAGCTAATACTCCTTCATCTTCATATTTTCCTCACACCAACAACCCTGAAAGATGTGTTGGGCTGAGAGAGACTACCTGGCCCAAAATGTCCCACCCAGCTTTCATGCCTTATGCAGGACTAGAACTCACAGGTCTCCTAGTTTCTAGGCGAGCACTTTTACCACTAGACCAAACTAGCTCTTATAATTTTCATTGATTTTAATTATTAAATTTATTCATTATGTAATAATAATATAATAATGTAATTATTATTTAATAATTTAAATCAGTTCTTGTAATGTTATAATGTAGTTCTTACTTGTTTAAACATGAGAATTAAGGTAATATTTGGAATAAATAAAATATTTTGTAAACACTAATTAATTAATATTAAAATACAGTTGGAATGGTTTTCTTCCAAAGGGAAGGCTTTTACAGCCTTTTGAGAGAAGCACTTCCACATATATGCATTTCTTACAATTTTTGTCAGGGTTATTTTATAAGTTATAGTTTTATAAAAAAAACAAGCAGAATAGTCTTTGGAGTGAATGTGACATGGACATACACTGGAAAGAAAATAGTGTATCCCTTGATCTTTGAAACTTGTTTTGATTCTTTGTATAAAAATAGAAAGCTAGTCATTTTCATGGTAAAATAAGAATAATATTTTTAAAATAATTTACAAGCTATTTTTAGAAGTAAGACATGAAAGCATGATTTGCTCTGAGATTACCAGAGTGTCTTGGTTGCTCAGACTTCTGTTGAATGAAATTATTTTGGACAGGCATTGCATTTACAACTGATCTGGAAGACTGCAATTTTAAATCAAGGAAAGCTGTGTAGATTTATAAGCATGTACCCTAATCTATATTTATAGATTCTCAGTATGCAGTGGGATTTGTTGATCTGAAGTCTGCAAAAGTTCTGGAATAGCTGCTTTCAATTTTTACCTCAGATCTGGCTTCCTTGTTCCATGAAGCCTTGTAGCTAAAAACTACTATGTGTACAAGAAAGGAAATAAAATGAACTCCTTTGAATTAGAATGTTAATTAGCCATCTATTGTTTTCATTGAGTAAATTGTGGTGAGGGAAGCTTTGAGATCGTCCTATTTAATTCTAGGAGCTGGAGTGGGTTATATTGGAGTGCAAGTACCATCATCCCCCAACATAAGTCATGCAGTTAAGGAGTATGGATGTTGACATTTGACAACTGCTGGGGCATCGTAATCCATGATATACAGATTTGGTTTATATTATTTACCATTAATTATAATTATTTAGAATTGTAACATCTAATGAGATAGACTGGTGCAATAGTATTCATAAGATCAGTAAGAAACCTCCAGTGTTCTACTTAGTGTTTTCAATAAGTATTTCTGCTACTATCATTAGTTCTGCTCTACTTCAGATTTTCTTTTATCTGAACCAATTTTTAAAAGATAAGAAATAAAACATCAATAACCATGATGATCAAATAAGACATTTCAAGGGCTATCATTGTGGAAATGACTGTCCCGACTCTCCCATACATTAGAAAGAATATGACAGCAGCTTCCAGGAGGTAGATGTTAGCATTAGTAAAATTGAAAGCTGTTGTCAGTTAACATGTACATATTTTTGTTTTTGGTTTGAAAGCACCATTAGGAATTGTCATTTGAAATCTACACATGGATACTTTCACATAACTGTATAAAAGTGAAAGTATTAGATATATTCATACTAATTATTGTGCTGAGGAATAGCAGTAAAAAGCCATTAAGAAAATTCCAAGTATGGTTTATATAAAAGCTAGCATTTTCCTTTTAAGCTTGTTAAGTTAAAAGGAGTAATAAATTATACATTCAGCTGATGTGAATGAAGAATATAAAGTTCTGAAAAGATCTGATCATGGACAAATAGCTGAGCTAAGTAAATACCTGCCACTGGATGAAATCAGAATTAAAATTGAACATGGGTAATATGTAAATCAAACTGCAGAAATCAGATCTTCTAAACAGCAGAAAACTGTTCCGCGAATACTTACAATTATCAGAGATGACTAACTAACTTTAGGTAGAACTTCCCAATAATTCTCACAGGGAATGAATGATTTTTAGTCAAGTGACTTGAGAGTGAAGGGCTTGTACACAAATAGGATTTTCTTTAACATTATTTATTTAGACATTTTTTCTCTAAAGAATTCAGGTGTAAATTTTGGGTACACTTAATAGGACAGATTCTTAAGTGGTGTGTTGATACAATTCATTACTTTATGGGGAACTTTTATCTAAGGGTTTTTCAACAGCTAAGAGGAATGTAATTTCATTAATGTCTAAAATATTTAAACTGTTTGAAATGGATTTGCCAAGTAAAAGATAATCCCCATTAAGCGGGGGGGGGGGGAAACACACCTTGCAATGGTGGACCATCATATGATAATGCATAAATATAGAAGATCTGAAAAATATTCAGTTCTTGATATATACGTCTGTCAAATCATGTTGAATTCAGTAGACTTATGGATCATTTTGTTAATATTATATTCTACTATCACTCTGAGACAAGAGCGTGGTAGCAGAACATTGATGAGCGCATAATTCAATCATGGATTGTTGCAAGCAATTTAGCTCCTAAGAATTTTGAAATCATATTTCATTTGGACATCTTATGTATGCTTAATACTTTTCAACAGTATCTATTCATGGGTAATTTTTCTACACTATATAATTTATGTTTACTCCTTATGTTTATAAGGAGTAATCAAAGTACATTAGATGTGCTACTTGCAAGGCTGTCTTCTTGCATAGTCTTAAACAACACATTAACTCAAAGCTTCTTTCTATGCAATTGTTTATCAGGGTAACTGGGCCAGAACTAATTTATGTATTCAAGAATGACAAATTTATTCCTGCAACGCTGATATAAAATAAAATTTGAAGATGCTTTAGATGCAGGGTGACAATTTTTGACCAGTGAAGATGGATTAGCATTCTACTACAAAGGAAGGTGGGCAATAGCTTAAGAGCAATGGAAATACGTTTCTAATAAGGAATTGTGGACTTTGCCATCAGTAGTTCATCTTCATCTTCATTTTATGAAGCTTTGTAACTGATTGTGTGTGTGTGTGTGTGTGTGTGTGTGTGTGTGTGTAATATTTTGGATATGATTCATATTTATCCAGAGTCTGTTGAAACTGCAGTGCAACCACCTTCTCCGCTCTACAAAGGGAAGATTGGAAACCAGATGAAAACTGTTCAAACTGGTTGGGCCGAGTGATTTCCCTTTAGTAGGCAGCACACCATCATCACCTTAAGAGTTGGCAAAACCACACCTTAACTCAAGGAAGAATTAATCATTACCAAAACCCTCTCCCTGGAAACCTTGACCAACCAGGAGTGAATGGATCTAATACAGAGGCAGCTGAACCAACAGCTGTAAGAGCCTCAGGTCCTCAGATTTAACAGGACCAAATTCGTCCCAGTGGCCTCCAACTATTTGGGCACAAGGGACTGGTTCCGTGGAGAGTTTTTTTCTGTGGACTACAGGGGGCACGGTTTCATGTTCATTTATTCCATAGATAGGGCTTTACTTGTTTGCACTGACCGGTTTCTGGCATGCTGCAGACCAGTGCCAGTCCAGAGACCAGGGGTTAGGGACTCTGATATAATACTTAGCTCTCATAGCTATCACTTTTTTTGCTTCAAAGATGGAGTCCAGTGCAAAGTGAATCTGAGCAACTTTATTTGTTGTATTATAGAATTACTCTCTCCAGGAAGAGTCCATATTACCTGAATTGGGTCTGCCAGATGGCAGATGCTATAAGGGTGGAGAAATAATTATGTTTAGTTGTAAATGCCCTTCATGTCATGGGTTCAGGTTAGTTGAGGGACCATTTCACCCCACTGGGATTGGCCTACACCACTCGTGCTGGTAGAGGAGGAATGCTGCGGGTTCTGTCAGCCCAATTATTCTGGCTAGTGGGGTTCAGGAGGACAGCCTTCTCTGCTGTTGATCCTGTTCTCTGGAACATCTTGCCCCTGGTGTGAAATTGACCCCAACCGTCCTAAATTTTTGTAAAGGCCTAAGACATGGCTCTGCCAATTGGCTTGAGGCCCCAGTGCGGGAACAACACAATGGAGGTTGATGATTGAATAGAATAACAGAGTTGGAAGGGACCTTGGAGATCTTTCAGGACAACCCCCTGCTCAGGCAGGAAACCCTATACCATTTCAGACAAATGATTGTCAAATCTCTTCTTAAAAACTTCCAGTGTTGGAGTATTCACAACTTCTGGAGGCAGGTTGTTCCACTGATTAATTGTATTAACTATCAGGAAAATAATCCTTAGTTCTAGATTGCTTCTGTCCCTGATTAGTTTCCATCCATTGCTTCTTGTCCTGCTCTCAGGCACTTTGGAGAATAGCCTGACTCCCTCTTCTTTGTGGCAACCCCTGAGATATTGGAACACTGCTATTATGTCACCCTAATCCTTGTTTTCATTAAACTAGACATACCGAATTCCAGCAACTGTTCTTTATATGTTATAGCCTCCACTCCCCTGATCATCTTTGTTGCTCTTCTCTGCATTCTTTCTACAGTCTCAACGTCTTTTTTACATCATGGTGACCAAAACTGGGTGCAGTATTCCAAGTGTGGAATTGAGTGATAGTAGATCCCACCCACCCCCACTCTGCCCCCGCTTTCCTCATGTGTCCTTGATTTTAATATCTGATTTTAACTTTTTATGTTTTATGTAACTGTAAGCTGCCTAGAGTTATCCTTTGGGGGATGAGCAGCCAATAAATTTTATAAATAAATAAACATGTAAAAAGTACTCTATAACAGGGATTCTAGCCTATGGCACTCGAGGTATCTCTTCACCCACTTCATCTCTCTTAACTCTAGATCCATGGTATAGAGAGATCACTCAGGTGTAATCCAATCCAAAGCCTCAACTACCCTCCCTTTCCAGATGGCCACCAGGACTTCCTTTTTGCAGGAAACAGAATTAACTTTCATCCCATTTTCCTAATTTTCTTTGTTTCTTTACAGTCAACCATAATTGTGGGGACACTGAGCCTGTCCAGTTCTCATTTGTGTACTCTGCCTTTTCCCTCACCACTAATGTAAACATTGAATTTCCTCAAATCTGGTCATGAATGGTGCCATTTTGATTGCATTTCTATAACACAGGATGATAATAATCAGTTT